ATTGCAAACATTACACACATCCACCATATACAAAGAGAGGGAAGAAATCAAAAGAGAACGCCAATCAAGGCGAAAGACAAAAAGATATGCCGAATCGAAAAACAAGGGTGGATCGCCCGAAGCCCAAATCAAAATTTATATACACAGATGAAAAAGAAACGACAAAGAAAATTGCAAATCCACGTCCATCAACCTCCTCTCTCTCTCTCTCTCTCTCTCTCTCTCTCTCTCTCTCTCTCTCTCTCTCTCTCTCTCTCTCTCTCTCTCTCTCTCTCTCTCTCTCTCTCTCTCTCTCTCTCTCTCTCTCTCTCTCTCTCTCTCTCTCTCTCTCTCTCTCTCTCTCTCTCTCTCTCTCTCTCTCTCTCCGATGCGGACAGTCCGTCGTCGCGCACCAACCCACAAAGTTGTCACCCCCCTTAGCCCTTCTGCGCCCGCCAGGTTCGCCCGCGCCTACAGTCCGTCGTGGCCCGCATCAACCCCGCGCATTCGGCGCCAGCTCGTCGGGTCGCCCAACTCCCGCTTCAACTCACCTCTTACTTCGCTCGTGTGCCGACCCTCTCTGATCGCGTAACCCCAAGCTTCCAACAACTGGTTAAGAGAGCTATCTAATCGCGCAGCCGGAATTTATAGCGTGCATGCATGCGCGAAGAACACGAAATTACAAGGACTTAGAAAGAGGGGAAGGAAGGGATTGCCTACGCCTGCATGGCCAGATCGCGGCGTGGGGGACTTAGCCTCTCTCCACGCATCGATCCGATCATGCAACCCGCGGCTACCGAGACGTAGCGAAAAGAAGAGAAGAAGGGCGGGAAAAACGAAGTCCAAGAAGAAAGATACAGTTACAATGGAGAGGAAAGGAGGAGGCCATAAAAATCCTGGGAGTCAGACTAACTGCGCTGGGCCCCCCGAGGGACCACGGCGATAACCTTGTCGACATGGCCCTTAGAAGGGTCACAAACTGGAAGGGCCTCCACAAGCAATAAACAACTCAATTCTTGCAGCCATCTGCTACAAAACTGCATTTTGGAAACCCAACCCAAAACAACTAGCAAGATTGAGAAGAGCGGTAGCCACTTACCTCTGGAAGAATACAAACGATGACTCGAGATGTATCTACCGAGTGGCCTGGGAGCACATTGTCCAACCACGTGGGAAAATAGGATTGGGAATAATAGACCCAATTGATGAAATAGACGCCCTGATCTTCAAATTCATCATCAGATTACTCCTCGGTGACGACATCCCTTGGGCCCCCCTGGCCTACATCCAACTATCATGCTTAGCCCCTGACGATGGAGCCCAGGCCAAACTTCACCCCTTAAGGTGGCTCACCAACAGTGCATGGTCCATCCCATCCCCACCAAGACACAGGAGAGATACATCACCAGCCAACCAAGCGAAGACAGACCTCCTCACTGACCCTCTATGGACAACACTCATCAGCCTATGGAGGAGAAAAGGCTCATCCCAAAAAGCCACCCCTCTCAGATGGCACGAAGTGATGAGGCAACCTGTTTTTGGAAACCCACATATAGTGGATAAAGATGACCGCATGTTCGGTCTCCACTCTAACTCGCCATGACTCTCCTGGGTTAGAAAAGGATTCTATACCATAGAAGACCTGTGGGACCACTCCCAAGGTGACTAGAAAACTGTACAAACTCTGAGATCCAACCTAAAAAACATCAAAGACCTGGAACACAAACGAGATCTGTTGATTGATGCTATACCATTGGGGTGGCGGCGTGCTCTCAAGCAAGGCCCCTCACTCGAAAGCGGGGATTGGGTGGTGCTCCACAAAGACCTCCCAACCCCAATGAGAGTTTATAAGATCACCCGCCTCACATTACCCACTGCCGTTGTGCAAGCTTACGAACTGGATCTCCCGGGTGCGAGATTCACACAAATACGACGCCATGAAGAAGGAGACATGGAAGCAGAAATCTTCCAACTCATAAGAATCAGAGTGGTGGAAAATTGCAACCATGAAAAGTGGGTATATGAGTCCAATAAACCGATCTACAGACTCCACTTTGACCCGGCCGAGTGGGAATGGAAGGGAGGTAATGGAATGCAGATCTGGGAATATACAGTTAAAGGAGGGTACAAAGCAGCACGGACCCTGCCTCAAACTCAAAGAACTCTCATCAAAAGATGGGAGAGAGACTCACTGCTCCAGGCATCAGACCTACAGGACCTCGATTGCTCCACATACGCCAAGCTAATGCCCACAGCCCACCGAGCCCTCCAGTGGCAGATCATCCATAAATGTCTGCCCACACCCGATTGGCTAGTATCAAGGACAGACTTGGAATAGAGAGGCATCCTATCACCAATCTGCTCGTACTGTGGGAGAGCCACCCAACCAGCCAGAGCAACTCTGGAACACTGTTTAATAACTTGTCCAATGGTCGCCCAGCTATGGCGCTGGTGGGATTCGGCATGGCACCACCTCACAGGTCGACACCTCCCATGGGACCCTGTGCTAATCCTACTAAATAAGCACAATCCCGTGACTCAACAATGGGATGCTTTCGAAACAAACCTATTCTCCTACACCCGTCTGACAGTCCTACTTCTAGCATGGAGAATGAGGTGCTCCCATGAAAGGAGTGGTTGTGCTTTCAGTTTCCCCCAGGCCAGGGAAGCAGTTATCAACACAATTACCACCCACGCGCAATAGGCTGGGAAAGAACTGAAGCAACAGCTGCAGGCCTCCAAAGACCACCTAGAGAAGCAACAATGCCTAGCCCTCTTCCACGCCATTTGGCAGGACAAAAACAAATTGCTCTTCGAATTGGACTCCCAGTCCAATATTCAGTGGAAAAGATGGGTAGCAACTGAACCCACCTGGCAGCGTCTTCTGGTGCATACATTTCAACTACCGCACCCAGATCAGAATTTCATCCTCGTCCCCTCCCCCTGAACTACCCCTCTCCCCACCTCCCCCTATCCTCCTATCCCCATACCGTCCCGCCGCCCCCYCACCACCTGCAATCCCCCCACCCCTCCACCKCCTACGCCCAGGGAGAAGTGACAAAGATACAGGAAGGCAGCCACAAGCAACTCCTCATGCAGAGCAAGAGCAACAACTCCACATCGTCAGGCGAAACCAAGAACCCAGAGGCACACAGACAAGGCAAGCCTAACGCACAGGAACCACAAAAACACAAGGCAGAGGGCGAGGAGCCGAAATGTGCCTAGGTACTCAGCAAAAGTCAAGAATGGTGAGCCGGACAAGCTGCGAGTTCAATTAGTGGGGGGAAAAGAAAGGAAAGACAGCCAGCCAGCCTACCTGCTCAAGACACCAAGTAATAGGATTTAGAACAGGGAACCAGAGGCAGCAAAGGACCTCCTGACAGGGGAAAACAGAAAGAATGAATCTTACAAATAACCCTGCCCAGTGCCCCTTCATCTAAGCCACAGATTCAGCAAGCTTGGGCACCCTCTTTTGGTTAGCAAAGTAGACAGGCTTGTCAGTAAGTAACCTACACTGCGAACTGGGCATCATCACTCTGAGTTTACAGATCCAACTGGTCACAAAGAACACAACAATGGATGTACTCAATCATACAAACTCGTTTCAGATTGTTCAGGGACGCTGGACCCGCTTTCCAGCAGGTGCTGCTCCCCACCAATAGATGGAGCCTCCCCGGGCATGCTAGCGATGTCTGCTCTTACCAGCACCCCTAGCACCCTCCCGGGTTGTTCTTGTTAAAAAAAAAAAGAAGGAAAGTCATGCATGCCAATTCCCTGTTTTACTTTGACTGATTGAATGGACTTTGCCAAATTTCATTGAAACCAAGATAAAAAATTGGGGGCTATTTTCGGGTCTGGTCACGTATGCACGTGCCACAAGGTCAGTCACCTCAGCTGTCATTTTCTGCTTTTTTTTCTGTAAAAGAGCATACGGACGGGTGAGCAATGAGTAGTATAGATGGGGTGGCAGGCACTGGTCACTGCGACAAATGGGGGTTGCCAACTTGACGTACTGGTCACTGTGAGATCGTTAAACCACCAGTACTTGGCCCAGCTATCGGCCGCAGCGCTTTCCTGTTAACACGCTGCACCCTTAGGGCTTCGGGGTACCGGACCACAATGGCTGGAAGTGCCAGCCAAAAAAAAATTGAAACGGTACCCCGGCGCTTCGGCGAAAATCGGCGCGCAGGGGCATTCCAGGNAGATTAAAGGCGCCGGCTAATCAAAATTCCGGTGAGTCCACAAAAAGAAGCGCGCAGGCAGAAAGCAGCACGCGCTAAGAGAATTCCTGAATTCCTATCTAATGCAAAAAGGAAATAAAGCACAAAGTCCGAAAAGAAAGTCCGAATTTCCGAGAGCCTCGATGGCTCGACAAGATTGCAAGGAGATTCAAAATTCAGAAAAAGAACGAAGCAAAATCCCGCGCGATCTCCGTGCCCAAAGTCCGAAATCGAAACGAAAGAAGCGATGTCAACATTTATTAATCGCGCGCACGGGGGCGCGCCAGTCACCCAGCCGACCAATCATCCGACCATCCTGGGACACACCCAGTTCCGACTCAACCGTCCGAAAAGAAACATCGCAAAAAGACGAAGAAGCGAGGACACCGATGCAATTTCCCCGTCAATCCCGATCTCCCGTAATTGGCCCAACCTTCCCATCTTAGGACCCCTCATTGCACTCGCGCAGAAAGTCGCGCGGAACAGAAAGTTGTTCGTCACAGCACCACTTGTCTGTGGAGAAGAAGACAGGACAACAGGGGTTGACCAACAAAAACGATGACAAAACGACTGAAACGGGAGAGAGGATGGAAAACTTTCTTTCTCACACTGATCGACAGACCAAAGGGAGCGACCAGATTCTTGGACCAACACTTAAACTTCGCCCCAACCTGATCAGGGCCTTTCAAACTGAAACTCTCCCCTTCGAACCCACCCCGTTCTTCCTTTCCACTACGCATCAGCCTCTGCACGACCACTCAAATTCAACACTACGAAGCCCACATTTACAGTCTACAGCCTGCTCTGCAAACCTTCGCCCTGGCCCCCATCCCTCTTCCCTCTTCCACTCCCACACCCCCACGCGGCCGCTTATCCGGGCTTCCTATAACAATACACAGCGCGGGGAAAATCTCGCCTACGCGATGTCAGCCTTAGCTTCGGAACTGTCGCAGAATTCGCTTCGTCCGGCATCACCTCAAATTGATATGAGTCAAGCCAGTGGCCTAGATCCGCTTGCGGCCGGTCGGGGAAACTGCCGGAGTGCAGGTCGATGACGTGGACTAACGACACGAAGTCTGGACTCGATCCGGGACCACCTTCCTGCTCGCTCTTCTGTCGCCACTTTCGGAGGACTGACCAGAGAGTTCCCAAATTGTTCCTTTCATTTTCATCCGGATCCGTTTCCTGACATATGCTCTTCATCATTGCGGCCTGAAGTGTCGTCTCAATCACCACGGCACTATTACACCTGATGTCGCTCATGCAACGGGCAGACAGGTCGTGTGTAAATCCCAGCTGAGTCGGCGGGTTAAAACTGCCGGGGCGGTATGCCAGAATCGTGACGAGGGTTGGAACGACATATGTCCACTGCCCAAGTCGTGACATATCGTCTCCTCCGAAGTAAGCAATGGACAGCCGAAGGAGGCGAGAAATATTGCGAAGTAGGAGAAGAGAATGAACAGCGTCCTCCAAACCCTCCATACCCTCGGTGTCGCACTCGGAGTAGCGGTTGTGAATGCTCTCGCGGATTGTACAAGCTGGCCTCCAGGCAGGATTTCCACATGGTTCGATTATCCACTCGTGGAAAATACCCCAATATCTCATCAGGGAAGAGTCTTTTGGCCTCACGCTTTCGACACGCAGAGATTGCCGTAGTAAATCGCTGCAACGACGTATGGCCTTGTCAATTACTTTCGGGAGAGACTGACGGCAGCCCTCTAGAGGGTCGTGGGCATCTTCGAGGAAGACCCCGTCGCTCGTCAAACTGTAGTCGTTCAGCAACTCTTCCATGAAATCGCCAGCCAACCCAATGACAGATGCGGTGCACTGCTGGAAAAGGGATTGATCTCTTAGGTTCCGTGCAAGGACACCCTCGTTCTCATCCTCAATGCGAGCAGCTAAGTCATACTTAGAAATGGCTGTGTCATACTCATAAATGGCTGTGATTTCGTAACGCGGGAGAAAATCCGGACCGATGATACAGGGAAAAAAAAAGCAGCTCTCTTTTGTGTTTCGTTCGAAGATAAGCAAGTACATCTCTCTCTTGTCCAAGGTTGAACGAGTGGCTTTGAACCAGTCCCGCACAGTGTCCAACACTTCACGGGTGAACCAGTCGATCTCTCTCCTGCCACGCACCTCACTGCAGTACTCGAGACAATCACACAGACGAACAAAATCCTCGTGAACACTGCCCTGGATATTCAGATAGATGAAGATCTTCGCTAAGTGCAGCTTCGAGAAAGGGGAGAGACCTGCTGCCGTGGCAGTACGCTTCAGAGCCGCCATGACCTTGGAGAGATCTGGAAGGGAATCCATCGACCACAGTGGGGGCGGGAAATCCTGCAGCGTCTCTCCGAACCGATGCCAGTAGACCATCCTCGGGATCAACAGGTAGGCAAAGATCCTGATGGAGTCCTTCACCAGCCTCCGGGACGATGGTTTCCTTTGCCCGACTCTCAAAAACTCTAGTAGAAGAGTCTGTGTTCGGGAGCAAGTCAGCACATCCCGTATGGTGTCAATGAAATTCTGGACCTCCTCTCTGTCGAATTTGGGTGTGGGCGTCTCCAAAGGCCAATCCCCTGGCCCCAGCGTGGTGAAAGCATTGCAGAATCTGCTACTCGGTACACCAGGCTCCTTCTGCAACCAGCCTCTGTGCGCTTGCATCTCGCTAGCAGCATGTGCGAAGGAACAGATTGCCGAAAGCGCCGTCTCTTGGAGACAAAGCTTCCCTTCCTCCTCCCCTTCATCTTCCTCGTCCCCTTCGTCTTCCTCCTCCCACTCGTCTGCCTCCTCCAATTCGTCTTCTTCCTCCCATTCGTCGTCCTTCTCCCCTTCGTCTTCCTCCTCCTCCTCGGAATCCTCCTCCTGCTCGTCGTCCGTGTTGGTACCAGTCACGCGGTTGCCTGCACACCTAGCGACTATATGGACCAGCTCTTCGACCAGTTTACCTGCCACCTCACTGTCAAGAAATATGTCCGCATCAGCATCCCTCTGGTCTCGCCAGGGCTGCCAAGGGATCACGGCAAGGCCCAAAGCGACTCGAGCGAGGATAAATGCAGCGAGTCGGACCTCTTTCCTACACACGGGGTTAGTTGCGCATTGCAACACCCTCAGCAGAACGACATACCCCCCTGATAGCGCGAAGTCCCGACAGAAGTCGACGTCAACGGCGAACCTGCTCGCCTGGGGTATATCCTGAACGACATCTGCCAGATCATGCCCGAGGCCAGTATTCCTCAATTGGGAAAGATCATAAAGAGCCTCCAATGCCATTGTGAGCCTCCCTCGGTTCTCTCTCACCAAACTCTGCGAGGAAGAGAGGGCTGGCAAGTTCTGCCAAACAATGTGCAACAGTTCAGACACGTCGTGAAACCAGAACGCTGGCAAGCCGCATGTCCCTACATTTTTCTTTGCGTCGTCCGCGGTGAAGGCAGGGTGCTCACGGACGTGACGCAGGTAAATTAATCCAAGCTCCATCTCCCTCTGGGTCCTCCACAGCCGCTCCCAAAATGGACCTTCACGGCGACCTATGAGATGGGAAGAAGAAGGACTGGTTGGGCGAATTACATCCGAGCGTCGTGTAGGCAAAGCCCGTAAGTAAGGAATAAGAAAAAGGGCCGACAAAGAAAGGAGGTGGAGCGCTACGGCTATGGAAACGAAGGTTGAACATTCCTCTTTTCCCCAATCCGGCTCTCCATCGTGGTGCTTCCGTGGGTACCTCGCCGATACGGTCCTATACCGTCTGAGGTTCAGGATTTCCCCGGCATACACCGCAATTCGAGCAACTTGAAACCACCGGAATAAACCCAGTCGCACACTCACTCTGTCCTCAAGGATTAGTCCGTCCAACTCGAACACAGAGTATGGTACATCACTAAAGATCCTCCGGTGTCGTGTCCGAGCGCAGGGAGTACCAGTAAACCACAGGGACCGAAGATAAACGGCAAACTGGGAAGCATAGAGAGATTCGCAGAGAAACAGGGAATATGAAAGCAGACCCGGGTTCATGTTTGAAACCAACTGCAGTGCAATCAACGACAAGGAAACAAACGCTAAGAACATCTCCATCTGCTCAACAATAGAGCTTATCCTCAAGACTCTCCGTGAAAGAGGGGGAAGCATGTAAACCATTTTCACTGATTAAGTTTAGCGTCCAAAGAACTATATTCGACACCCTGCCTCTGAGTCCGAAAGTCTCTCGAAAACCTCTCTGATTGATATTTCAATCAACTTACGCGACTCTCTCTCTCTCTCTCTCTCTCTCTCACACACAAAATTAATCCCAGTGTGAGGCTCTAGATGTGTCCACGCTCTCGTCCCGCTCTGTGATCCCGATTTTCGGTCCGCCCTCTCTCTCTCTCTCTCTCTCTCTCTCTCTCTCTCTCTCTCTGAGCGTGAATTTATATGGATACTAATCAATCGGTTCGTAGCGGTCGAACTGTCTCCTGCGCACCTTCCGGCTCTGTGAGGCCGATGCTCATTCTCTCTCTCTCTCTCTCTCTCTCTCTCTCTCTCTCTCTCTCTCTCTCTCTCTCTCTGTTTGTTGGGGGAGGAGGGGGGCAGTGAATTTATATGGATATTAATGAGTGTGCTAAAACTCTCTCTTTTCTCTCGCGGCGTGCAAAGATGTCTATCCGATTCAGTCTGTGTGTGCTACTAGAGTTAAGATAATGGAGCTGTCCCCTCCCAGGCAGTCTCCGCACTTTACAATGTCTTCCGCGAGGATCGAAGATCTATTGCCTGGGGGAAGGGGAACGGGCGGCAAATGGCGTGGGCGAGCCGCTAGGGCAGTGCACGGGGATCGAGATGGTCGACATGAGCATGGTAGAAAAGCGGGTTGGGGAAAGGAAATTGGAATGGGGATCGGAAGGACGTGCGCCGCGGAGATAAGCACTTACGGGGAGGAGGTTGGCGGGCGACAAAGGGAGTGGCACCGGGAGGGCGCAATCGGGAGAATGGGGAACACCATCGAGGCGAATCTGGAGGGTGGAGATCGTATCGGGGGTACAGTCGGGATGATCGAGGGGGAGAAGGGGGAGGCGCAGTGCAGAAACACGCGCGGGTCCAATGGGATTCGGAGTGGTGGAATCGGCACGCGGGAACGTCCAGCGCCAGAATGGTGGGATCGGTAGGAGCGCAGGCGCTGGAAGAGCGCGAGGGGGGAGGGCGAAGGTGGGCCGGAGAGGAGGTAAATGTGTGGCGGAGGGAGGGTAGGGGCGCAGCGTGAGAGGGGCGTGCACGAGCCGGACGACGGGTGGCTAGGCCACGCGAGGGAGGAGGCGCGATCTGCGAGGGGGTGAGGTTTGCCGGACGGGAGAGGAAGTGAGGCGCGGGATGTCGGGAGAAACTGGGTGTCAGAAAAGAGGATAGATGAAGGGAGCGGAAGAGGCATGGAGGTGTGGCAATCGTGAGGCTATCGTGAGAGCTACAACACGAAGGCGGCCGGCTATGATGGCGTTGGCAATTTACTCACCAAAAGTCGGGAGTAAACGCGAACGAAGTATCAGTTGGGCCCGGGCCTAAACTGGCTGGCCGAGGATTCGGGGGGGCTCCGGTAACGGCAGCGCTAGCGCGGCACTACCGTTTGCGGTACCACTACCGGAGAATGACGGCGGCTGCGTTCTGCGCTCGCGCGTGCGTTAGTGCTGCTTTCCCGTTGGCGGTTCCTCCACCGTGAGTGCAGGCTGAGCAAGCCGTTTTCCGGAGCTGTGTAGAGCGAAGTGACGAGCGGCGTGCACGAGACATCTCCATCGCCTAGCTCGCCCCGCCAGGTCCAGGGCTATGGCATTAGCTCCGGAAACGTGCTTGGTCACACCCCCACCTTGAGTGGTGGGGCGAACGCCTTTGCGTTCTGTGGCCATTGCATCCAGGCGGCCCCTGTCTAAGCCTAGACTCACCTACATCCTTGCCACCTGTCATACCTCCACAACTCCATCACTTTCAACCCAGCCACTAGACCCAATCTTTGTCAAGATCACAGTCCCGGCTGCGCCGTGCAGCCTGGACATACGGGGACATATGCGCTTGCCACAAGGCAGGAGCTCGTTGAACTTCCTCCCTATCGTTCTGAGGTATGGCTCAGCGGAGTACACAAGCCTAGAGGCAGGTTAGCCAATCCTCGTCGGAAGTCGGATATGTGACCGTAGGGAGAACAAGCAGCAGGGACAAGGCGTAGACCTTGCTCCAAGCGCGAGAAGGGCGAAGAGTTCAATTGAGGTAAACGGGCGGCCCAGCAGTGGGCGAAGAGTTCATTTGTTGAGAACGGGCGACTCAGCAGCAACCAGCCAGCGTACGTCGACAGCAACAATCCAAGGAACTCAGGCCGTGAAGCAAAGACAAGGGTAATCTCTGTCCCCTGGATGTGCTCTATGTATTTGCTTCCTTTCACGTTGGGAGTTAGAACTTCAAGCGTTTGAGTAGAATGCCGTGATCTAGAAATCTCGCGCCCACCGATGGTTACGGAGTGAGTCATTTAGATCGCACATCGCTACTCAAAAGGAAAAGTATTCGCTGGTGATGGGAGATGTTCGCGGCGCGGGTCCTGCACGTTTCCAATCGATGGTTAGAATCTCACGACTGGTTGTGTAGAAAGCTTCGATTCAGTAGGATAAGAGGGAGCCCGCGGAGATAATATCCAATTTACTATTCGCTCGTGGTAAATTGGGTTCTATTGAAGTCGGGACATTGCCCTCGAAATTAGTTTCCAGTCTGTCTTCGTCCCACTGAAATTTGGCGCCACGGAAGTCTGGAGAATTGAACTGACTAAAGGGAATTGAACTTATCGAGTCTGCCAAAGCGCACGTCATAACGCAGAGGAAAGAGTATTTAGTGTCCTTTGGAAATGTTCAATGTGACAGTCCTGATAATTAATCTGGATGTTGGAATTTTATGCTGAGCGGGTCATATCGCAAGTCGTTTCCCAAAGAATAGAGTAATCGGTGGCATTGGTATATGCTCAACGAGATGGTCCTGTTACTTCTCACTTGGGAACTTAAAATTTCACGCTGAGTGGGTAGAAAACATCGGTTCAGATTCCACTGGTCGAATTCTCTCATCTTATATCCGTGTTTACAACGCAGCTCAGTAAATGTACTATTCTGCAGTGGACAACGGAGAAACGACATCCACATCTCCCCAACCCAATTCCTACGATCAGTGGAGGAGGCTCCTGTAGTCTTATCTCCCAGCTATAAGAATTTGGGCTCGGTGGGAGATCGAGCAATTTCAGAGTAGATACTTTCCTGCATCAAAACCCGTTTTTCCCCAGGCGGTAGCAGTCTTGAAAGGTTACAATGGAAGGTAATCCTCAAACAGGGGCGGATGATCTAGTTAATTTGGAAATTTTTTCTGATGCAGAAAAAAACAGGCTATGGAACCTGTTTGACGAATGCTACAGACAGAGGATTCTCCCTTCTGGTCTGTGTACGGCACAATTTTCGAGAGTAATCAGGGAACCAGATCGTGTGCGAATCAAAATTGACCCAAGGGTTTATGCAGTGCAGGCACAATGGCTTAGGGAGCATGTGGTCATGGTCTTTTTTGGTCAGGATGCAGTTCCCCTGCCATTGGATATCAAGGGCAGAGCAATCAGGTTGTATGAGAATGGATGGATAGGCATGCCAATGTTGGGTGATGAGCCAAAGAGAGTTTTTTTCAGAAATGAAGGGAAAAACCTGCTCTCCTACGTGGCCAGCACTAAGGAAGTTACCAAATGGATGCTGAGAATGGAATCTGACAAGATAGAATTGGACGGGAAAAAGTACACAATTTTCTTCAAACCTTGGAGAGAGCTGCAAGAATGGAGAGACAAACTGAAAATTGATTCCTTTTGAATTAGATGCTTGAGAATCCCGTTGGCTGCTCTTCCTGTCCTGAAAGATGCTGTAGAATTGGCTTTCGGAAAAGTGATCAAGGAAAATCCAGTTTCAAAGAAACCTGAGGAACCGGAACTAGTGAGCGTCAGATTCGACTTAGAACCATCGGCCAAAGAGAAGTATACCAGATACCTGTCTGTGGATCTGCCCAACAATGGGGGCTCTGTGGAAGTGGAAATTGCGAAGCCAGACACCCCGTGGTGCTCAGAATGTAGAGGATTTTTCCATACAGAATTCGATGATGGATGCCCAGCAAGGAACTGGAAAGGAGCTGGGCAAGCCCGTTGTTCACAGGTTTGGAGAATCCCAACCCCCCCACCCTCCCCCCCCCATTTCCCCCCTCCTCCGCCACCCCCCCACCAACCCTCAGCGGGAGGCCGGAACCGGTCTCAGGGAGACTCAGGCTGGCCTCCGCTGCAGGGACGTGTGGGAGGGTCAGGATGGGGAGGACCGGGGGGAGTGGAATGGGTGGGGGGGGGGGCTCACCCCCTGGAACGGAAAAGATGGGGAGTCAGAGAACGAACCCCTCCTCCTCCTCCTCCCTCTGAACATTGGGAATTTCAGGACAGTGACTACGAAAGTCTGCAAGTCAGACCTCTCGTGAGACATAATGGTCTGGGAAGGACAAGTGGCGCCTCGAAGGGAGGATCAGAAGCCTCGGATCTGAGGCGCAGAACTTTCGCCTCGCCGGGCAGAACTTCAGAAATAAGAGCCTATCCTTCGAGGCATGACAATGCACTCTTCCTAAATCACAGACAAGATCTCATCCCTCTCGACAGTTGGCAGGATAAGGGGGATGTCCTACCCCCTACTGGGTCAGAC